CTACTGCTTCATTTCTGTGTGCAGGTTTCCCTTCTACATGACTCCATTCTTCCGCCTTAGCAACTGGATGCTCTTGGATTTTACAAACTAACCTGGAGGCAGTTTCTTTCCTCATTACAAGATCTTTCAGGCTTTCTAAGTAAAAAGCATATGATTAGGGTAAAGTAGGGTTAATTTCTATCTGTTTTTCACAAGGGCTGATCTAACATGGTGTTAGATAGGGAATGCTATTACAGTAAAGGACACGTCGCTGTTAATCCCCCTCAAAGCGTTCCACCGTGCTTTGGACACACCTTCCCCATCATTATTGCCACTTACTGAAGTGGATGTGGAAATCCTCTTTCACAAATGCCCTTAGAAGACATTTTGAAAAATCCATGGTAGATACAGCTGTTCTGTGCCCTCCCGCAGGAAGGCAGGCAGGCTCGCGAAGGCTCGCAAACACATCAGGACGTGCCCTCACGGCCTTGGCAGCACTGGGTGATTTCCGCCGCTTCCCCAGAGTCAGAATGACATTTTGAATCGATTTACAACATTGCGGTGGCTACAACAGCTCAACTAAAGAAAATATTAATCAATAATGATGATAGCATTCCTGTTTAGTTCATTTCAATTGCAGTGATTATGTATTTTCATGTTTATAATTTGCTTTTGAGCATTGCTAGCAGGCTGATAAGAAAATAAGTACTAATTAACAAGTACTGTGAGCTGCCCTTGAAATAGCACCACTAGGAATCCACGCTTTCCTTCTCAGTGTAACCTAGGAGTGAATGCCCTGCAGAAGACTCATGAACATTTGAAAATGAATTAAGCAGAAGCAGGTGCAAGCCATGAGTGTGATCCCTAGTATCATAAAAGTAAATGAAAGCCCTCAAGTCCAGCACAGTTAGGCCAATAGAAATCAAATGAATAGTAAAATATGATTTTTTTTTCATTAAATTTTAAAAACTCAAACTCGGTTTCCTGTTGCTGGAAGTGTGGGGCCAAGCGTACTCTTGGGGCTGGCTACAGAGATGCGCGTTGGCACAGACTTCGCCAACAATTTTAATTTTCAAGTTAAAATTGAAAATTCATGCGCTCTTTGTCCCGACGCCACCACTCCTGAGTTACTACTTGCTGTAGCATTGTGGGTAATGACCTCCATGTTCGCTCAAAGGCTGTGTCACCTTTCCGTTTTCTCAGTATTGATTGGTTTGGTTCATTCTCTGTCTTACATTTTTGTTAGAAGTGAGAGAAAGTGACTGCTTCCACCTTTCTCATGGCTGCTTTCAAAATAAGTAGACCACAGTTGCTTCTCTAGGGAATTTTCTCAAGGCGAAAGCTTAGAAATGAGGATATTGTATCCTCTGCTTGCATTTTGGTCTTTTAAACTAAGGTCACTTCGTTGACAGCTCCGGTCTCTTAGGAAAGCTTTTCCTTCCCAGTGCATTAAAAATCACAGAAATAGGTTTCAGTTGATGTTTAGTTCATTGTTCCCTTTGAAGTATCTTTCTTGTTGATTTATACCGTGAGGACTACTGAGTTAGGTCTAATGGTGTATGTACTTTTGTAGAAATATCAGAAATAATCCAGATTCTTAAAATGTTTCTCAGAGTGCTTTCATTGTTCATTGATGTTTTTATTGATATTTGAGCAATGGATATAGATAGTTCTAAGTGACACCACTTGTCCTGTCCATATTTCCAAATTTCGCATAATGACTTTGGTGACTGTTTCAAGATGACTGTTGATGGAAGGAGTGCCCGCCATTTCTTTCCCCACTGTTTGCTGTCTTTGCTTGTATTTCTTTCTTCCTAAGTTGAAAAAATAATATGGAAACATTGACATTTTACTGTAAGAACTTTCCCAAAGCTCTTACTGTCTTAAACAGCTATTCTTAAAAGCCTATTAATGTATTTGTTCTCAGGTGTAGATGTTGTATATGATTTAAAAATACATAATTGAAGTTCACAGAAAGTTTTTAACTCTTAACATTAAAAAATAAGTTCTCAGACTATTGAAAATATGCTGTGGGAATAGGAAGGGCAGAATGAGTATTAGGAGCTTGACTGTGAGAAGTCTAACTGGCTTTGCTAACTACGTGAAAAAGTTGTTCTCATTATTTAAAAATGAGAAGTTTTAAGATACCTAAAATTTCCCCTATCATTTGCCTTTGGGGTTTTCAGCCTTTTGGATAGAGCTGGTTAGCAATGACTAGTACAGTTTGCCTTTCTAATTCTGTAACCAAAAGACCTATGGGACAGAGAAAGGAAGACCGCGCTTGAGTTTCTTCTCCATCAGTTGCCGGCTCTGTCATGATCAGGACCATACACTTTACCTGTATGAGCTTTAAAATTGCAAAATCACCAAGTATTTGAAGGATTAAGGTGAAAATCATGCAGTGGTCTATATTTTCTATATATCACAGACAGTTAAAATTGATAGTTTATTTTAATGGAATCTTGACTTTGTGACTCTGGCATTAATGTATGAATGCTGGTGGTCTGACATACTGGTTGGGCTACGTATGACTGCGAAGTCTTCTGAGGAAACCAGGCTATAGAATGCTTGTCTGAGGTCAGTTGCTAGTCAGTGACAAGGCAGTGCTAATGTGCGCGCGTCCTTTCTGATGGCTTACACCATAACCATGCAGCAGGACATTGAGCGGGTGGGAACAAAGCAAAAATGATCACCTTGTGAGATTCACACGATGAATATAATTATTAGGTATAGAAAAGATATACCAACAATAAAGAGGAAAGAATTTTGAAGGTTTTCCAATAAAGAAATGATATTTTAGGAGATAAGTATGTTTAATTTAATTTAAATATTATACAGTGTTTTGGTTACTTCTCTCTCATGGCTGAGACAAAATACCCAACACTATTCTTCAGGGAAGGTAAATTTGATGTAGCTCACAGTTTGTGGAGGTTTCCGTCCATAACCAGCTGGCTCCAGCACCGGGTGGCGTGGCACAGGGCAGCAGAAGACAGCAGGAGCAGCAGGAGGAAAGGGCGGAGCCGGCGTCTCCTGATGCTGTGGGCGGGCCGCCCTGCCACACGGAGCGGGTGAGCGCTCCGGCCACCTCTGCCGCGCTCCTTGCGCACAGGCTGAGGATGGTTACGGGGGAGCACCCTGCTCCCTGCCGAGTGCTTATTTAAACGTCTAAACTTCAAGTTGATAGTGTGTCAGCTTACACATGATACATGCATGTATTGCAATATTACATGATACCCCACTAATGAGCATAATTTTTGTTTGTATTTAAAAGAAAATAAAAATGTTAGCCACTCCCCTTCCACTCTCCAGAAATGGCTGATTTTTGAGTGTGTGAGAAAAGCACTTTGGAGGCAGTTTTCTAATCTTTTATTCTACATAAGTCCACAAAGTTAGCGGAACTGAGATTTGCTCTAGCAAGAACTGGACCGCGGATAATACGAAGGCGTGGCAAGTGCGGGGGCAGGCGTGTGCTGCTGAGGACACCACGCGGGCAGCTTTGCAGGATGATGGAGGCTCTTCAGGAGCGCCGCCCGCAGTCCAGACCCGGGAAGCTGTCTGTGCCGGACAGGAACATGCAGCGGAGCGCTGTTCAGAGGACGGAAACTAACCGCGTGGCGTGCGGGTGGCCTGAGGAAGCGGGGTGGCGAGGGAGCTCGGCGCCTCTCTACAAGAACTAGGTTTGAATTTTGTACAAGAGAGCAGCATTTTCATTTCTATTCCAAAGAAACGTTGAGAAAGTTATGTAATGAGCAGAAATAGAAAGAAGAGCCGAGTTAGTCAATATGAAATAATCATTTTAAAGTACAGAAAGGACACTCAGACCTTCCCTTTCTGAAACTAGATCATTCTGAGGAAAGTGACAATGCCTGCTGCAGTGCAGGTAGTTGGCAAATGCTTCAAAGGAAACTTGACTCTGCCACGTAGGTCAGCGTGTAGCATCATAGTGCATAATTTGTTTGGTGACACAGCGAGCCATTTGCCAGGCCTTATCTCAGGAGCGATTAAAATCCATCATTCTCTGAACATCTCAGGCTCCCTCGTGTTGCAATGTTCACTCCTAATTTGGCAAAGGTCTGCGGCAATAGGCTTATACAAGGCAGAAAAACTTCATATGTAGATACAAAGTAGGTATGTAAATATTATGTGCTTATTTATGCATATTTCTCTTTAGGAAGTAAGATAGTGATAGGAGACATTGGCAAGAGATCAGGCAAAAAGAGAAGAATTGAAGGTGTATGCTGTCCTTAGTATATTATTTCCTCGTTACTTCCTGACTGCTCTGTCTAAGGACTAGATGAGTAGTCACAGGCAGAGTTCTAGGCCCAGCCCCATCACTTCCTGGACTTCTGCCTTGTCTCAGACAGGTGCCTTTGTGTTTCCAGCCCACAGTCTCCTGATCTGTCGAATGAAAGGACTGTCAGACGAGCTCCACAGGATCTGCTGGAGCTGCTTCAAGGGCCACCTGGAAGATGAAGGGGGCCTTTGGCCAGCTTTCCCTTTCAAACAGCAGCTTTGCTTTTAGTTGTTGGATTGAGGCTGTTATAAGATTTTGACAAAAGATCCTGTCACTTTTAAAAGTTTGGAAGTCACTGAACTAGATGCTTCGCACAGGCCTGCCTGGCTCCAAAACAGTTCCCACATCTGTACAAGGGAGATAAGTGCAGCTCCCTTGCTGAGGTTGTCCAGGGTGAGCAAGGCATTCCGTGTGGAGTGGCGCCTGTGGGACACATTCACGTGTTAGCCACGCTCACCCCTCCCGACATGTCCCACACCAGTAAGGTTTGTAATGCCTAAGACTTGTACTTTGGGCATGAAATGATAGCCTGAAAACTGCCTAATCCATATAGTTTGTATCAACAATACTATAAAAATGCCTAGACAATATTCATGAAAGTTCAATGTATTTTATTTCTAGTTTTTGTACTTTTGTCCTGCTACAGCTAAAAGTCTTATTGCATATCAGATTTTGAAAATAATTGTGATGGTACATTTATGAACGTTAACGTGCCGGTGTGTTCTAGGCTTGCCAGTCTGTGGGAAAGTGACATCAGCGTCCACTCTTTGACCCTGCCCTCTGCGACCTGCCTGGAGCTGCTGCTGATACTGTCGAGAAGCAATGCCATGCTGCCTCCGTCCCTGCGCCAGATGAACTCCTTCCAGGTAACTGAAGGGCTCCGTTAGTAGTGTGCTCTCTGTTTTACTTGTAATTGTTTTAATAAGTCCTGTTTTCCACGAAAGGGGGGTAGCCCACCGACACGTGGTTTCAGGTGGTGGTAGTGGTGACAGTATGTGCAGATGTCTCTTTTCGACAAGTGAACACGTGGGGGTTCAGAAGCCACAGCTCTCTAACTCCAGGGCTGCCATCTCTCAGTCCCCATCTCCGGCCTGTGAGCACATTGTTCAAGAGATCTAGCGCCTCGGCAAAGACACTTGTACCTGTACCCCTTGGCTCCTCCCAGCTCTGCCCCAGGACAGGATTGTTCAGCCATTTTTAGTGGCTTTGCTGCTGTTATCTTATAGTAAAATTGCCAGTTGAGGCATTAACCTGGAGGATATCCTTCCTGCTCCCGGCACTGTCTCTCTGTCTCTTCTCAGCCTTTCTCGCAGAATTCCCCACCCGGATGTTTAACTGCACTGGTACAACTCAGTGCGGCTGATATAAACTGGCCAATAGGAAGATTCTCTCCCTGGAGGTAGCTAATCATCACACGTGGTGGCAAATGAGAATTAAGATGTTACTTAATACTTCAGTTGTGGCCCTACAGCTATTGAAGGTAACTGAACACATATGTGACTGTCTCAGTTACTCTTCTCTCATTGCTGGGACAAATACCCAACACCGAAAATGAAGGAAGGAAAGGTTTCTTTAGCTCAGTTACTGCAGGCCTCAGTCCATACTTGGCTGGCTCCAAGGCAGACTGGCACATGACAGAGAGCATCCAGATCATGGTGGTGGAACAACAGCATTGGCAACAGAGAGAGAATCTGTCTCTGTCTCTTACATTGAATTCAGGCTCTCTGCCCCAGGCTGGGGGAAGTACACACACCCAGGATCCCAGCAGGACTAAGACCCATAATCCCAGTGGATCATGAGTTAAACTCTAGAAGTCCATGCCTCATGACTGCATGAGGCTTTGGGGGGACAGCTAGACAAACCGTAACAGTGACCTAGGACAATGGAACAACGTACACAGATGCTGGAGGGAAGACCCATGCATTCCTGAGCAATTAGGAAACATGGTTCGCTCTGGCTCTGGAAGGGTGCTAGTGTGGTCTGAGGGTAACTTCAGGAGCAGTATGTTATTTGCTGTGCCTCTGTTACGTGATAAAACAAAAACCAGATTTTCTTACAAGTTGTGTCTCAAAAAATCAAGAAAAACCGCCCCAAACCCAATGATAGCCATATTCTTACAGAAACTTGTTACATTGTCCTTGTGATTTGCTTCTACTTCAGAGTATTGTTCACCGATGCAGTATTCCTGGCCATCGCATTCCTGTTTGTGTTTGTTGTTGCCTGTCAACTTTAACCTGGGGCTGTAAAGAACACCTCCTCATTTATAGGAGAGGAAACTGAGGTCCAAAAAGATGGAACGTGTTGGCCAGGGAACACCTTGGTGGCTAGAGACCAGGCCGGTCTCGCTAGACCTGCCCAGGCGCAGTCTACCTGCTGGGCTGTGGAAGGGGTAGAAGGTGAATATGGACAGAAGCGCCCTGTATGTGCTGGGTGTCTGCACACACTTTTATTTTTATTTTTTCTAAAAAATAATATATAAAACTTGTGTGCTGATTTGAACTAGAAATGATTCAAATCTGCAGTATGAGCAAATAACATACACTGCTCCTGAAGCACCTTCAGACCACACTGGCCGCCTTCCAGAGGCAGAGCCAGCCCGTGCTTCCTAATTTCTCAGGGATGCGTGGGTCTGCCCCCCAGCATCTGTGTACTTGCATTGTTCCGTTGTCCTAAGTCACAGATGTGTTCACTTACCTTCAGCAGTATAGAAAGCTTGTGTACTGCTTTGAACTAGAAATGATTCATATGTGTATTATGAGTCCATGTTTCTTCTGAGTTTTGCTCAGTGGTTGAACATTGAGTAACATAAAAGATTATATGTGACCACAAACTTTTACGAGTGAGATATAAGAAACTTCTCAGTGGATGGCATTTTTTGTTTCCTTCCCTCTCTTGTGTACTGTGTGAAGTTGTTACACCATCATCCGTAAGTGAGCAGCAAGAGAAACGCCTTGGATTCCGGGGTGTCTCGGGGCGAATGGAGCAGTTTTCCCTGTGTGACATGAATCAAGAATAATTTTATTGTATAGTAACCCGAATAAAAGTCTTAAAAAGATTAAAGGTGAAAGAGAAATCTAAACCAAGTGTGAGGGATTTGAGAGGAGGGCCAACCTGTGTTTCTTTTCCAGAGACAGAGGGGTTTTTTCCTGTTTTAGGAAGTCATCGTGGTCCTGTGGAACAAGGTGCGTGAGCGTCTGGCCTGCTATTGGGGGCATTAGCGTGTTCTCCTCATTGTTAATCAGAGGAGCTCTGAGCTTTAATTGATAAAAGTCCCTTGTCCCTCTCTCAGTGATTACGCTTCATCTGGTCTCTGTCTGTTTGCTGAATGTTACTGTCAGAAACACACGTACTCACCTGACTTCAAAAGGACAGAGAAGCTGCACAGAGTCGTAGGAATAGCGTCTCCGGAAGTCTTGTCAGCTCCATTACTCCTGAAAAGATGTGTTCTTATCAGGAGATTCGCGGACGTGGCTTTTCTGTATAGAGCTTCGCTTCAGATACAGGATCAGGGCAAGTGCAGACGGTGTCTGTCAGGCTGAGACGGAGAGGCGGTGCCTTTTCCTCTCTGGAACATCGGCTCAGTTATTACACCTGCGGGGCGTGGGGCCACTAAGGTTGTCCATATTTGAAATTTATTTTTGGTTGGTGACTAGCTTTCATGCATATATTTTTACAGCCATTTTGGCAGGAGCTGTAAAGTAGTAGAATGACATATGTTACAGCCAGCATCTTTACTTCTCCAGTTCACTTTCTTTCCAGCCCGAACAGTCACTGAGCAGCACCTCTCTGTAAAACTGTTATGTTAGGATTCAGATAAAACTCCTGCGGGGATTATCATGGCCAAGTCCTGAAAGGGAAGGCCTTATCTTATTAATTAGAGTGATTAACTATCTGAAATTCTGCCTTCTTAAATTACATTGTAACATTTCTCTCAGGGCAACAGGGATCTCTTCTGGGGATAGTGGCATAATTGTAGGCTCTACTCTGTTTCAGCACCATAACATCCCTAGTGTGATTTTCAGCGAGCTGTGGACTTTAGTTGAGAACCACTGCCGTGTTGCGAAGCACATACCTGCTGTAGTTGTGCGGGCCGAAGATCAGGCATGGATTTAAACGTTCTTCACATCACTCCCTACGTGAAATTCTGCCATGGCCTTCTAGCACAATGCGAGTAAAATCCAGACCTTCCATGGCCTGCAGGGCGGGCGGCCTCTACCCTCCGTCCTCTGACCCTGTCTCTTACACCTTCCCCCTCTCAGTCAGAGTACTCTGCTCACACTGACAGGCTTGCTTCTCCCTGAGACCGGAAGCTGGTGCTGGTCAGTGCTTTGCGCTCTAGGCTTTCCTGCTGGGCTCCTCCTTGTCTCCAGGTCTCTCAGCTCAGGTCTCTGCACCCCAAAAGACCTGACTTGACACCCTCACTCCCTGCTTTCTCCCATCATCATGACTCTATAATCTAACCTTTTTTTTTTTGTTCTTAGCACTTTTCCCAGTTTGAAATGATTGTGTTCATTTATTTATTTATCTCTTTCCTCTACTAAAAGGGGAAATGTCCTTTTTTGGTTTTCCTACATGTAAATATAAATATAAATATAAAATATACAGCACCCAACTCCTGATTATCTTTGCCCACTGTAGACAAAGATTCAGCAAGAAAGAAAAAAGAGAGCACACTTGGGGTCCTGAGAGTGCCGGTGTTACTTCCTTCTCTGCTCCCCGAGAGGCCCATGTGGGTGTTGATTGAAAAGGGGGAATGTCTACTTCTGTTCAGTGTTGTATCTCTGGACCTTAGCGCCTTGATGTCGGAAGTGGTTACTAAATAGTAAATTGATAGATGGGATGCAAAGTAAAATGCAAATTAGCCTAGCCACAGGGTACTCTAGAAACCTAAAAGGAGGCTTGAGAATTTCCGGGGAATTGGCAGCAAGGGGCTAAAGAAAGAAGCAAAAGCCTTCACACCCTTTTTATCTCTGTACTGTGTACTGCATAAATGTCCTCCTCGTCTTCTGCTCCCCACCCCCCACTCACCTTCTGGCATGAAGCCAGACTTCCCAGCGACTATCAAGAGCCTTGAGGACCTTCTACGTGAGGGTCCCGGTGTTAGGTGAGAATGATGGAGAGGGGGGCTGGGAGTAGTTCATTTGTCCGGTAATCGGGCTGCTGCAGAAGAAATCAGACTGCAGACGGACCTGCTTAAGGTTGGGCAGACCCTGGCCGGAGGAGACCCTCACTCAGACCTTGGGGTCATCCACATGGGCCTCTAGGAAGCGGAAGAGGAAGTAACGCCGGCACCCCCAGGACCCCACGTGTGCTCTTTTTTCTTTCCTGCTGAATCTTTGGCCACTGTGGGCAAAGATAATCAGGAGTTGGGTGCTAGTCTTTATATTTAGGGAACCCAGTCTCAAAGGTAGCGATTACTGCTCTATTTTCAGTCTGTTCTCAAAACAGATTTCTGAGAATTGCCTCAGCAGTTTGGGTGTGAATAATGTTGCTGTCATCCTTCCTTTTTGCTCTCCAGGATGTTTTGTGGGTTGAGGAAACAGGGATTAGCAGGAGCCTGTTCTCTTCCCTGTCCTCCCTTCCTCTGCCTCCTTCCACAGTGGACTCTACGGTTCTACCATGCCCTAGAGAGGGCAGGAAGGACAAAAATGGACCGAAACCTGCACTAAGTGGGCGCTGAGCTGCCCCCTATGGCTTCCCAGGTTCCACCACACACGGCACTCTTCAGGCATTTCTGTCACTCCCCAAGGTGCTGATGTTGTAGGCAGAGCTGGCTACACCCCTGCCCTTCTGTAGCACCGGATAGGCAGGTCTGACGGAGGTACCCTGGCCTCAGCCTGTTGGCAGAGCAGGAGTGAGGTGTAGC